CCCCCCCGGGACTGCAGTCCTCCCTCAGTTCATGTGCGTGATTGGCACGTGTCCACCTCCCAGAGTTCCCTGCTGGCAGCGTGGTCCCTGCGTGTCGATGCTCAGGTGGTGGACTTTTAAGACACTGGGCTCTGTGGGAGGTGACAAGGTCACTGGGGACTCCCATTGCAAGGTGGGCCCGTCACCACCGGGCAGGCTGTTAAGTGAGGTCCCCTGCGTTTGGCCCCCTGCACCTGCTTCCCCTCCACTTGTCCACCATGCTGTGATGCAGCCAGGGACCCTCACCAGATGCTGGCACCATATTGTTTGGACAGAGTCACCAGCATCGTGAGCCAGATGAAAACTTTTTTCTTCATACATTCCCTGGTGTCTGTCAGGTATTCTGTTACAGCAACACAAAACAGAACGAGACGCATCCCTCATCTCATTTGAGCTAAGTGACAGGGGCCATGATGCTCTTTGCAGAGAATGTTTTAGGCTAGGGGTGCCACGCGCTGTTGCTGCTCCTCTGCACAGCAGCATATAAATGGCCATACACCATTTATGAACCCTAGGCATCACTGTGTTCCAATAAAACTTTATTTGCAAAAGCAGATGGTGGGCTAGACTTGGCTTGCCAACCCCTCCTGTATGCTGCAAAGTTCTTCATCTTCTTCAGGCACAGAGTTAGGCTGTGTCTCCCAGGCTCACTTGCAATTAGTTGTCACCTGCTGTGTGCTGGTGACTGTGAATGCAAGGATGTGCCGCTCCCAGGCCTGGCCCAGAAACAGGTCCCACAGGATCCCACACACTTTACCTGTCTTCTGGCTGCAAGTGAAGTTCCCTGAGAGAGCCACAGGATGGCAGGAAATTGGCATTTTAAGAAAAGAAGCCTGGGAAGGCCACCCAGCCAGGAACAGACAGGCTGGAATGGTTCATGAGCAAAAAATTAACTTGTTTAGGCACAAAGGTGCTGGTGATGCTTGTTACAACAGCAACCCTGCCCTGATACAGGCTTATTATTTCTGAAAATGGCCCCCTGCAGATGTCCACACCCACCTCCCTAGAACCCACGATGGCCCGTAGGTGATTAAGAATAATGACCTGGAGATGGGGCAACTGTTCTGGGTTATTTGGATGAGGCCATCCTAATACCTGAGGCCTTAAGGAATGGTTTCTTTAACTGTGATTTTGGAAACATGCTCAGGGTCTCTACAGGGGTACCTAGCAGCACTGGCTGTGGACACAGGAAGAGCCCACTCCCCACAGGAAAGTGAGCAACTTTCAGATGCTGGGAAAATCAAAGAAATGGATTGTCCCCTGGGGCCTGCAGAAAGGAGGTCCTGCTGAGTCCTTGATCTTAGCCCAGTGAGACCCACGGCACACTTCTAACCCACAGGTGTGACAGGTGATGAATCTGTGCTGTTGGCAGCACCAGGCTTGTGGTGATCTGCCCAGTAGTCGTGGAGTACGACTCGTTTTAACCAGCAGGACTGGGTGAAGCTGGGGGCACCACTTCCGTGATGAGTTCCATGAGACTGAGGGGCACCCTGTCAGCAGACCGTCTGCCCACCAGCTTGCACACGTTGATGACACAAGAGGCCACGTTGCAGGGGCCTTGGTGGCCACAACTGGGGGAACCTATGGTCAACAGTGAGGCGCTGAGGCCTCTGCCCAGCAGCCCTGCAGGAACGGCACAGCCTGGGAGCTGGACCCCTGCCCAGTTGAGCCTTTGGGTGGGAACTGGCCTTGACTGACACATGACTGTAGCTCTGCCAGCGCTCCCTGTGCAGAGGACCTCGCTGACCATGCCACACTCCCGACCCACACACACTGAGGTCCCGATGGTTGCTGTTTCAGGCCACACAGTTATGACTTGCTGCGCAGCGACAGAGTTGGTCCAGATTTCGGGGACACCTGGTCTTCGTGTTCTGTCGCGGTGACTGAACACACGGTGGGGCATTTAGAACTAGGGGTGCATTTAGCTCCTGGCTCGGGCAGTTAGAAGGTCCAGGAGCAGGGCCCAGCACCTGCAGAGGGCTGTCCTGCCGCTGGGGACTTCCTCCACATTGGAGAAGGGCAAGGCCACCAGCCACAGCCAACTGGCTTTTGTAGCAAACCCGCCCTGGAGGTGACTGCCCGCTCCCTCCCTGACCCGTTCACCCCAGGGTCCATGAGTAGGTCACTCTGTGCACGAGTGCAGAGCTTTTGTGCGCCAGCCTCCATGAGAGGTCCTCCCCTCCACACCGCGTCTCCAACACGTGGACTTTCAGAGACATTTTTTCCCCCCTGTGGTGCTGGGGACAGAACCCAGGGCTTTGTGCACCCGGGGAGCGCTTGCCCACGGCGCTGCTGCACCCAGCCCAGCCACATCCCTCTGCAGCAGCCTGGGCCTCTGCAGTAGCCCGGGCCTCGGGCCTCGTGGGCCACTCACAGAAGCTCGGGAAGGCGTGGCCCCCTTCAGCTCACACGGGAGCAAGGACAGTGAGGGCGCTGCAGAGGTCCCAGAAGGTGCCCCCCCCCCGCTCCTCCTCAGCTCGCTCCCCAGCCCCAGCTCAGGAGCAGCCCCCGCGGGCAGGGTTTTGAGCGCAGCAGACGCCCTCCTTCAGCCTCACCGTGACCCCAGCTGGTGACACACACAAGGCCAGGGACTCGGAGCAGTCGCTGAAGCCCCGGGGAGAATGATCGTCCCCACGTCCCAGATCAGCTGAGGCGGAGGAGGACCACGGGGGCCGCAGAGACTCCACACAGGTGGCACGTCCCCTGGACCCGCGACCTGGCGGATGAGGAAACCGAGTCGTGGAATCTGAGGCGCAGGGGTCAGCTGCACAGGGGCACCCCGCTCCTCACCGCAAGGCCTCGGTGCTCTGCAGTCCCTCCTCCTGTCCCAGTCCCAGGGGGCGTCAGGTTGCTCCGAGCCCTTCCCTGGGGTCTAGCTCCCCGTGCTCACGTCCCCACCCGTCACCATGCCGAGGGAACTGAAGCCAGCAAGAAGCGACCTGGCGCAGCGCGGCCAGCAGTGCGTGGAACCCGTCGGCACAGCCCACAGCCCTGGGGTGACACCCGCAAGCGGCAGAGACGGCCCACACCACAGCAGCCCTCGGCCTCAGAGGGGTGTCAGCGTCGGGCACCTGCATCAGGGCCTGTCGCCGTCCTGGGCTCGCAGTGGACGGGCCTCCAGCTGGCGTGGCTGGATGGGGGCCTTGGGGAGCGCCGCTGGCCTGGCCAAGCCGCCAGGATGGGTCTTACTGCCAGGCCCCTAGGAACTTCCCAGGGGTCTGGTGCTGGCCCCATTCAGCTTTCTTGGGGAGAGTCACACCCAAACCTCTAATGTGGTGTCCCCTGGCAGGACAAGGGGACCCACCAGCTGGCCTCCCCAGGCCTCCTGGCTCACGGCCTGAGCGCCTCACACAAGTCTCACCTTGGGCCCAGGAGCCCAGAGGCCTCACCCCCAGCCTCTCCTAGACGTCTGTGAGAAGGTCCCCAGGAGACCCTGCCTGACTACAAAATCGGCCCCCACTGGGGACGTCCCTGGCAGCTCTGTGAGCTGCTCTGCAGAGCCACCGTGAATGGTCTCCGGAGGGTTTCCCATGGGCTAGGACTAGTCCCCTGGATGCAGACTAGGGGCTTTATATACTGGTGTCACGGTGGCTTTCTGAAATGGCCCCTTATAGGGTCACATGGGCCTTACAAAGCCAGCTTCCCAGGGGCCTGTGTGTCTTCTCACTGGTCCTCCCCAGGTGTCCTGTGCTCCTTTGCCTCTGGGAGGACCTTGCAGACCACATGAACTGCCCTTTGGGACAGGGGTCCCGAGCTGGCCATACAGGTCTCCTCTGGACCAAATAAGACAGTCTTTCTCTTGTAAATGTGGAGACGCATAGGGGGTGTCTGCCAGCGGTCAGCCCTGGTGGGCATTAGCCCAGAGCTCCAGGCCAGGTGAGTCGGTTTTCAAAATGGCTTTCAGAGCACCCCTGTGGCTACCTGGAATGGTCTCCCAACAGGCCTCACGGCTGACGGAACCCTTGACCCCCAGCCAGGGCTATATGGTAGCAGCACGAGGAGACAGTCACAGTCAAGTGGCACACTGGACTTGCCAGTCTGCTTCCAGGGCCTTCCCACAACCTCTCATGCTGCCACATCAAGAGGCGCCACAGCCTGGTCGGTGGAACTCCTCCGAAGTGGCCTTGTGACCTGTTTTTTTTTTTTTTAATATTTATTTTTTAGTTATCAGCGGACACAACATCTTTGTTGGTATGTGGTGCTGAGGATCGAACCCGGGCCGCACTGCACGCCAGGTGAGTGCGCTACCGCTTGAGCCACATCCCCAGCCCTTGTGACCTGTTTTTAAAACTAGCCTCCTTATAGATTGAAGCTTGAGGACAAAATTGGATTTTGTCTTCACTTTACAAATCACTCTTTCATGGTTGCTTTATAATCAAACACCTGAAATGTTCTATTTGATTTTATCTATTGAATCTCCAGTCAGCTTAAAGAATGGCCTTACAAGAGGAGGAGCCTGACGGGCAAGGTGGCACACATCTGTGATCCCCGCAGCTTGGGAGGCTGAGGCAAGAGGATCGCAAGTTCAAAGCCAGCCTCGGCAAAAGTGAGGTGCTAAGCAACTCAGTGAGACCCTGTCTCTAGATAAAATACAAAATAGGACTGGAGGTGTGGCTCAGTGGCTGAGTGCCCCTGAGTTTAATCCCTGGTACCACCCCCAAAAAAGGAGGAGCCTTAGACTATAGGTTCAACACTTTCTTGTTGGCTCTGAGAGTCTCCCAGAGGAGCCGGCCCCATGTGGGCTGCAAGAAGCAGGCTCTGCACAGGCAGCTGCTTGGACTGGCCCCACAGGGCAGGGCAGGGCAGGGCAGTCCAGGCTCAGTGGAGCTGCCGTTCTGAACGGTCTTTTGTGCAGGCTTCAGAAACAAACTCTGAGCAGTCTCCATGTGTGGATCTGGTAAAAAGATTTCCTGATGGTTGAAGCCGTTTTCCAGAAGGCACCAGCCTGAGTAGCCTGGTGAGCTGGCCTCATGGATTGGCTTCCTGGATCTTCTCAGTGAGATCCTTTTAGAAAAGGTCATAGTCACCCAACAGCCCTCCCCAGGAGGGAGACGAGTGTAAGATGTGGAAGTCGTTTTAGAATGGCAGTGCTGGCTGGTTCCCAGAGCTTCCCATCAAAGGGTTTACTGTGAGTTGCATAAAGAGCCAGGTGCACACTAACTATACGACTTATCATCTAAACCAGGATGTTATTAATTTAAGTGTCTGGAAAAGGAAAGAGCTGCGGTTACTCCAGGCAAAATGATACCTCCATCACCCAAGAATGTAACCTACGAAAAAGCATCAGTGGTCCCATGTCCTCGCTTAACAAGTGGTCTCCCAGAACTCAACAGGTATTGGCCTTGAATACCTCGAGTTTTTTTTTTTTTTTTCGGGGGGGGGGGGCAGTGGTGGTGTCTGTTACAGAGATAACCTGAGTGGTCCTGTGTCCTGGCTTTGCACACTGGCCTGCAGGTACCACGTGTAATGGGGAAAGGTCAGGTACAGGCTGCATCAACAATTTTTCTCAATAGACTTAATAATTCAGCCCCTAAAAGGCCTTAAATAGAGGCTTGTTGGCGTCCAAACCTTTTTGTTAAGAGGGTCAGATAAAGAAGGTGGGAGCTGGCCTGAGTGGTTTTACTGGGCTTTATAAACAGTGGGGCTTTGTATTAAAACAAGGAGCCAAGGGCAGGTCTCGGCTTCCTAAATCCGCCATCCAGAGTTCACGGTGCTGCTGGAACTCAGTCAAAGCAAGTTCCGGTTGATTATAAGGCACAGCCTTCTAGGAAACCACTGGGGCCATTATTTTTAAAACCCCACTGCTCTGGAGCACACCCCCACCCCCGCCCCAGCAGACTTGTGAAGCAGGCTGGTGAGACGGCCTGGGTGGGGCTGCGGGGAGAAGCCCACCAAGGTTCCGGAGGTCTCAAGCCGGCCTTATGCAATAGCCAGCGAGGAAGCCTCCCAAGGGGGACTTCCAGATCTCGCAGCCTCGGCCTGGCTTTCCAGGGGCCGGTCGGCTTGGTAACGTCTTCAGTTCCAGGCCGCTTGGCACAGGCAGCGCTCGGTGACACCCTGCAGGGAGGCCTGCACTGCGGGGCACCTCCGGCTCTCTAAGGGCCACGCAGACGTCTCGGGTGTGCAACGTCGTCGTCCTGGCCCTAACACCTGCCGTGACCTTGCTACCTGACACTCGAGGGCAGGGGCCTCCCTTGGCTGGGTCTTGAGTGGACAGGGCGACACGATGCTGAATTAACCCATCAAGTGACCGACTATTGTCTTTCCTCCCGGGGCTGCGGGCGGGCTCCACAGCAACCGTCCACCTCCCGCTCCCCAGCGCCTTCCCGCGGCTGCACTGCTCGTGGCTAGTACTCGGGGCCGAGCGCAGGGTCTTCAGTGGGCCTGTCTCCACGCGGACAACCACCGCCCAGCACCGCGAAGACCCGTTTCTATAGACGCTAACAAACAGCCGCGCAGGCGCACTGGCGTTCCACCCAGGCAACCCACACCGCTTCAAGAACAGCGCAGGCGCACAACAATGCAGTCGCGAGGCCGGTCTGGCGCATGCGTAATTAGACTGCCACGGGACGCACACTGCGCACGCCTAGGTTTTTTCCCCCCCCAATCCTCCCGCAGCACAGGACAGCGGGATGAGCAAGCTAAACTGCGTTCTCAGAACGCACGCGCTGCGTCCAGAGGCTTCGCGTGCGTAATGCCGTACCTCTACCCCCTTCGGTTCCTTATCTGGACGCCTGCGCAGTCTTTCCCGACCCCATTTCTTAGAAGCCGGAGGTTCCGGCGCTTCCCAATGGCTCAAACTCACCTCTCTCGCATGTGAACGATGTCTTGTCCTCCTTGGTCCGGACACTGCGGCCCTCTCCCGGTGGTCAGGCCGGCACACGGACTATCGATCGCTCACTGCTCCTCTGATCACGACCGACTGCCTAGGAGAGCGCCGAGCGATGGATGCGGCGGCCCCGCCCCCCCTACGGAAGGCGGGAGGGCGACTTCGGGCCTGAGGTGCGGCGTCGTACCGCCAGGTTCACGCCCTCCGTTTACTCTGACTCCCGCAACGAGGAGTATTCTCCGTTTTATAGAAAAGTAAACAGGCTGGGTGAAATAAAGAGGCCACAGCGCCAGAATTTGAACCCTCAGTGGGGCTGCGTCCGCGGCGGTTCCGCGGGAAGGACCCGGCAGATGGCCAGGGACCTGAGCCCCGCTCGGCCTCGGGCGCGCTCCCTGTGAGCAGAGGCGGCTCGGAGCGCGGTCCGCAGGGGGGACCCGTGCCGGGGGACCCGTGCCGGCTGCCCACCCGAGAGGTGGGTTAGCGGGCCTCAACTAGCAACGGGGAGCCGAGGCTCCAGGCCAGCGCAGCCGCCACCGCCGCAGGACACCTGGGAAGTGTCCAGGTCAGCCGGGGCGGTGGCGCACACCCGGCGTCCAGGGGCTTCGGAGGCGGAGGCAGCCAGCCTCGGAAATTAGGGAGACCTTGTCCGAGAACCCGCTGGGAGGTGGTCGGGTGGTGTGTGTGTCTATTTACACACAGAGAGCTGCTGTCCTCAGGGCTCCCGGAAGCGCGTCCCCGTAACCTGTCAGGCTCACTGGGAGCCGGGGACGGATTCCAGGGTCATGCAGCCAGAGTCCCCGGGGGATGACCCCACCATTGAGCGGGCAAACAGGGCAGGCAAAGAGGAAGTGCTCTGCGCCACCTGCGAGCCAGAGGAGACTCGCTGAAAGCACAGCGTTGTTCCTGGTAGGATTTTGGTGATGACTCCGGGAAGCCCCGCTCTGGGCTCACCTTCCTGCGTCAAGGGCAGACACAGACCATCCCGGTCACCACACTTCGGGTTTTAGTTGGCTTTTTTTGTTACTGTGAGCAGAAGACCTGGCAAGAGCGATGCAGAGGAGGGAAAGTTCATCTTTGGCTCATGGGTGTTCAGAGGTTCAGTCCACTGTTGGCTGACTGCATGGCCCTGGCCCAAGGGGAGGCAGATCACGGCAGAAAGGTGTGATGGTGGGAAGCTCAGGACGTGACAGCCAGAAAGCAGAGCGAGCTCAGCTTGCCAGGAATTAAATATAAATTTATACCCCAGTGACCTGCCTCCTCTGGCTATACCCTACCTGCCTACAGTCACCACCCAGTTAATCCATATCCATGGATTAATCCAGTGATTTAGGTTACAGCCCCCATAACCTGATCACTTCTGACCCTTCTTGCATTGTGTCACCAGTGAGCTTTTGGGGGACACCTCACATCCAAACCATAACACTGTATCTCACAAGTGATGCACAGAACTACTTGTCCCCACAAGTCAGAACAAAGTGCTGGTGCACCAAACTCTGGTTTAGCTCCTCTCCTTCCTCCAGGCCCCTGGACCTTGGCCCACCCTCAGCCTGGGACAGCAAGCAGCCCCAAATGTTTTAGCTCTCAGGATAAAATACTTAATGGCCTTCTAGCCCACAGCTCTTTACCTCTCCTGTTCTTCTGTTTAATCCCACTAGCCTGTTTGTAAAGGTAAAATTTCTAAGCTGTTTCTAAACTGCAAAGCCTGAGTTAAAGTGTAAAAGACCGGGCATTGTAAAGTTTCCAAGCTGCAGGGCCTGAGTTAAAAAGTGAAGGACCAGGTATTGTTAAATTCCTCTGTTAGGACAATATCCAAACTGCCCAGTAAATATTCTCACTGACTCCCTGGTTGTCTAATAACCTGGGACTCTATGTAGTTTGTCACGTAGTTATTTAGGCCCTAAAACCAATCAGTTTGAATGTGTACCCCGCTTAAAAGTGACCATTCACCCCTGCCCAAACTGTTCCCGCCAATGAATGTACTAGTCATGTCTCAGAGTTGTTGTTCAATTTTCCCGCGTCTCATGATGATTTGTTCTGATGTATGCAAAGCCCCCTGCCCTCCCCAAAAAGTGTACTTAAGCTCTGCTTGACCTCTGCCCTGGGCTCTGGGCTGCTCTATCTTCCTGAGTGAGCCTGGAGCCTCAGCATGCTGAATCAATAAAACCCCTTCTGCCAATTGCATGAAGCCAGTCTCTTGTGGTCTCTTCCTCCGACGCTTCGCCGGTCCCTTACATGTTCCCTATAAAAGCAAAGTTCTTTTTGCCTAAGTCTCAGGGTGCTTGCAGACCCAATGGCCACAATAGTGTCGCTATTCCAAGTTTCCCTCCCCCAAAGCATAGACCCTTTCCCCCTCGTAATAATCCTCTCAAATAGAAATCTCTCTTTGCTGAGTCTGAATTTGGTGTGTACTGGACAGTTCAGGGCTTTTACTTTACAAGGATCACCCAGTCGGGTGCACATTGGCCCCCACGTTGCCAAGACAGGCCTCATGATGGGGGCCACAGGAGGTTTGAACCCAGGACCCTGTTTCCAGGGCCTCCTTCCACAGTGCTCAGGAAGGGAGCCCAGCTGTTTACAGAGACAAACCCTTTTGCGGGTTTCTTTTGTGTTTTTGTTTGTTTTCTGGTGCTGGGGACTGAAGGACCTCAGGCAGGCTGAGCCTGTCCCACCACCGAGCTCCGCCCGCAGGTTTGCTTGTTTCCAAGAGTGGCTTGGTGAGATGAATCATGGGCACGAGTGAAATGTTTTCTTAATAGAAAAGAACCACGATTTTTCACGGTTGGGTTTCACTTCCCACAGTCTTGTTGCCACCCCCACCCCACCCCTTCCCCTCATTCCTGGTGGCTTTGGAATTGGCCATGAAGCTCATGGACCCATTTGAGTGCTGTGGAAGGCACCACACACACAAAGAGCCATTGCTTTGGCCCATATTTGTGATTTTTCTCCATTAGATCAAAAGCTTGTAATTTAAATATATGCAAGTGTGCTGGGAGCATGTGTGGCTTAATTATCAAATTTATTCAAAATATAAAAACAAGGCTCCAGACTCGAAAACAACATTTAGCTTGCCAGGGAAGAGACATTGGATTCATTCCAATTGCTTAAAGAGGAGAGTGAGACCTCCCAACTCCGGGATCCTCCAGCTACTCCACCCAGACCTTCCATTGCACACGGCAGGGCGTGGCTCACCTGTTCTGTGCCTTAATTCCTCTATGGCATGTGACCATCCCTGCTTGAGCTAGGACCTGGTGACCTAAAATGACCTTTGTTGTTTATTACACAAGGTACCATATTGTGTGGATTCCTCTAGGGTGCAAGCAAGACCTTCCAAATGGGATACTTGCTTTGTCTCTGGGGCTCAGTATCTTCCTGAAATGGGTGTGACCACTACCTTCCTAAGGATGTTGTGAAGGTTAGATAAGACAAGCTCTTCTCCTTGCTCTGTCTGTCCCAGAATGCACACGATCCAAGCCTCCATTTACCTGCTGGTAGCGGCAGTCTGCCCTTCCTGTTCCAAGTTCAAGGACCCCACAAGCAAATGCAGAACTTCCTAAAATACAGGTTCTTGGGCATCTCCTCTGGAGATTTTGATTCAGGAGCTCTAAAGTCAGACCCTGGATTCTGAATTTTCACTAACATTTTAGGAAGCTCAGCGAGAGATGGCAACCATATCTTGAGAAATAGTCCAGGGGATTATGGAGGTCCAGAGACGGGGAGTCAGAAGGTCTAGAGGGTCTGGCAACTGCATCAAACTGACCTGAGGTTCAGGCCTGGAGCCTTGTGGCCAGGGCTGGCTCCTAGCTCTTCCTGTTTCTAAAACTTCTCAGGTAGTACCTCTTCGTGTTGCACACAGAGCCCTTACCTGGGCCACAGCCGGCCCAAAGCTCCTGGTCAGACAGGCGCAAGCATTAGTTTCCTTCTAGATGAATGATACTGCCTTTCCCTGCTCAGATACTATTTTAAGCCCTTGAAAGACAGATCTTCTTTGATCTCTCTCATCCCCACCCCACCCCACAGTAGAACCCTGTAATCATTCTCTACTCATTCATTCAACAAATATTTATCAAAGACTATATATGGTGTTGGAGTAATAACAACCAATAAGGTGAATGTATTCCTTCTCCTCATTCATTGAATCATCTGTGTTGCAAATTTTTATTGAGCATGATTCTATACCAGGAATGGGGCTAAGTGTTTGTATCAGTTATCTAGGACCACAGGTGATGCTGCGTAACAAACCACCCCCAAACTCAATGGTTTAAAACAATAAATCTACAGATCACCTTTGTGGCAGGTTTGGCTGATCTTGGTGGGACTTGCTCACGTGAGTGGTCAGCTAGTTGTTGGCTAAGGCTATGAGTCATGAGCCTGTTATCACCCGTTATCAATCCTGTTCACATGAATGTGGCAGGATTTCAAAGAAGGAACAGGTGCTATATCTCTCTTAACTCATCCATGACCTGAACTACTTCTGTTGGCTAAATCAAACCACATTCTACTGGACTGACAAGTCACAAGGGTGTGTTAGCCAACTTTCCACCACTGTGCAAATACCTGAAATGAATCAACTCTTAGAAAGAAAGGTTTGTTTTGGCTTACATTTTGAGAGGTTCAAGTCCATGGTCAGTGAGCCCTGTTACCTTGGGGACTGTGGTGAGGGAGCACGCTATGGCGGGGAAGAAATTGGTGCAGCAGCGATGCTCACGTCAGGCCAGCCAGGAAGTTAAGAGAAAGAAAGAGGAAGAGCTGGGGTTCCAGCATCCCTTTTGAGGACACGCCCCTCCCCAGTAACTCAAAGATGTCCCTCTAGGCCCCACCTCCTAACTGTTCCACCGACTCTCAGTAGCCCAAACTAGAACTAACCCTTTAACACATGTGCCACTAGGAATATTCAGGATCCAAACTCTAGCACAATGTTAAAAGAGAATCCACTGCTGGAGAGCAGAGACGCGAAGTCACAACGCAAGAATCTCAGCTACAGAGAAGTTGAAGAGTCATAACTATGGTCACAGTGAGCAAACAGACACATCCCTGCCCACATTCTGGCAATGGGAAACAGGAAGTTAAAAAAAAATTTTTTTAGTTGTCAATGGAACTTTATTTTATTTATTTACTTATATGTGGTGCTGAGGATGGAACCCAGTGCCTCTCACAAGCCAGGCAAGCGCTCTACCACTGGGCTACAGCTGCAGCCTGGGAAACAGAATTTTTTAAAAAATCATAATTATATGTATAATTATCTACACAGTCATCTCTTGGTATCTGTGGGAGATTGATTCCAGGGACCCCCTTTCCAGATACCAAAATCCACGTTGCCCTAGTTCTTTATATAAAATGGTGTAGGACTTGCATACTCCTTATACACCCATCCAGTATATTTTAAATCGTTTCTAGATTACTTAAAACACCCAATGCAATGTAAA